CTTGGCAGGGATTACAGATCTGAGCCAACAGTAGTGGCCACCTGTCGGCCTGAGGAAGGGCTGGCCTTGTGTGGTAGGATGGAGGGCTAGGAAGAGGTCTGGGTCATGCCTTCGTCATCTTGCTTTCCAGGGGCAGGCTGCAGTCAAAGGCTTGGCAGGCCCAACTCTTGTGGTTGCGGGTAGAGACAAGCCCCAAAGAAGCTGGACTTTTGAGGGCCCCTGGCCACCAGCAGACCCTCAGCCTCAGGGAGTAGGGGACAAGAGCTAGAGAGAAGGCAGGAATGAGTGACAGACAGATGGACAGAGGGACAAATAGGAGATGAGAGACAAATAAGGAATCAGAGTTATGTGAAGATGAGAAACAGGCTGAGCACTGCAGCTCATGTCTGTAATCCCAGAACTTTAGGAGGCAAAGGTAGGAGGATCGTTTGAGGCCAGGAGTTGGAGACCAGCCTGGGCAACATAACCAGACCTTGTCTCTACAAAAACAAATTAAAAATTGGCTGGGCGTGGTGGCTCACACCTGTAATTTCAGCACTTTGGGAGGCTGAGGCAGGAGGATCACTTGAACTCACAAGTTTCAGGCTGCAATGAGCTAAAATCGCTCCACCGCACTCTAGCCTGGGTAACAGAGCAAAACCTTGTCTCAAAAACAAAAACAAAACAAAACAAAACAAAAAAAGCAACAAAGATGAGAAATAGAGACAAAAGGAACAAAAAACAGCCAGAAGGCCCATTTGGGGGATTGAACCCCTAGGCTCAGCTTTGGGAATACAGGCCAGGACTCTCACCCAGCACTCCTGACACCCTCCACCTTTCCCTCCCACTGTGCCAAGACCCTCTGAAACCCCCAGGGCAGGGGGCACCCCCAGTTGGCTTGGATGGGAGACAGGTGGATCAAGGACCCCCAAGCTGCACCCTTGAAGCCTGGGGTACCTGAGAAGTGGCACACACATGGCCAGATTTCAGCTGGGACCTCCTGGGAAGCTGGATATCTGCCTCACCCTCTGGTCTGCCAAACTGGCCAGGCCCTTCACAAACCCTGGCATCTGGCATGAGGTGGGCTGCTGCTGGGAAACTCAAGCCCAGAACAGAACCCTTATGGCTCTGGGGTCCCACAGGACCATGCCTCAATGGCTGGGCCAGACGCCTGGGGCCTGTGGAATCAGGCAAAGGCCGCTTCCCTGCTATACCTGTCACCATTCCCTCTGCCCCATGTTGCTCTTCCAACGACTCACAGCTCCCTATACATAGTAGGCCCATTCTCCGCCTCCTGCACCGCACACATGCTGTTCTCGTGGCCTGGAATACCTGCCCCCACTGACTCCTGAACACTCTCCCCGGGCTCGCTGACTTTGATAGTGAGGCATAACAACACAGAACCTAGTACACCCCCACCCCACCCCATCCCCGTCCCCAGCTCCAGGGTTCCAGGCCTAGCCCTGCTGCTGCCCCGCTCTGTGACCTCAGGCAGCCCCTCCCATTTTCTAAGCCTCATGAAATGTTCAAACTGGGTGCAAAGGTGGACTGGGTGCTCATGAGCAGCCAAGCACTTCAAACAAACCAAATAGGTTCAGTCCCTGTCCTGCTGGCCTTCCCATCAGGCAAGGGCAGACACAGGCCTAACTCCGATCAGGGCGAGCTTTAGGGAGAGCATGTATGGGGTGGGGGTTGGGAGGGCTGCAGCCTCCTCCTCTGTGGATGGGGTTAATATCAGGGTACCGCTCTCACAGTTATAGACAGGATGCACTGAGAGCAGGTGAGGAAAAGGCCCAGCACAGTGAGGGCCCAGTCAAACTCGGCTGTGTTGATTGCCATGATTAAGGGTGTCAGCTGTCATAGTGCCAAACCACCTCCAGCCCCAGTAATCTCAAACATTCCGCTCCTAGAACCCAGGAACTTCTCCCACTCCCACCAGCCTACACGTGTCCTCCAAGTTCCTCCAAGTTCCCTAAACGTGCCCAGCAAGTTCCTGCCTCAGGGCTTTTGCATTTGCTGTTTCCCTGGTCTGGACCAACCTTTCCTCAACTATCTTCAGAGCCCCCTCCCTCCTGCCTTCCTACCTTCAGTCCTTCATCCCAATATCACCTGCTCAGGAAGGCCTTCACTACCCCTTCTCTAAAATGTCAGCCCTTCCCAAACATTTCAGGTCCCTCTCTCCAGCTATACATTTGTTCCATGGCGCCTGCCACCACTGCAGATGTGAGATCGTTATCTGCTGAGTTTATTGCCTGGCTCTCTACTAAACTGCCAGCTCCGTTTTTTTCTTTTTCTTTTTTTTGAGACAGAGTCCCTCTCCCTCTGTCATCCAGGCTGCAGTGCTGTGGTGTGGTCTCTGCTCACTGCGAACTCCATCTCCTAGGTTCAAGTGAGTCTCCTGCCTCAGCCTCACAAGTAGCTAGGATTACGGGCACCTGCCACCACATCCAGCTAATTTCTGTATTTTTAGTAGAGATGGGGTTTGCCCAGGCTGGTCTCAAACTCCTGACCTAAAGTGATCTGCCCGCATTGGCCTCCCAAAGTGCTGGGATTACAGTAGTAAGCCACCGCACCTGACCAGCTCCATTTTTTTCTGTCTTGTTCACCACTCTGCCCCCAGAGCCTAGAACATAGGTGTTCAATAAACATTTAACCTAGTCTCTCATTTTATCAGGCCCAGAGGGGTTAAGTACTTCCCCAAGATCACACAGTGAGGGGACAGAGGCAGAGAGCCCAGTGAAAAGAAATTTGGAGAAACTAGTTTGGCAAGTTTCCTCCTCCACCTCCAGGTCTAGAAGAGATAAAGGACTTTGACTGCAGATTTGGGGCATCAGGCTGTCTGCAGACTCTGATTCAGGCATGGCTGTTCTTCAGAGAGTGAAAGGTACTCGGGGAAACCAGAAATGGACAGATATGCAATGGATCGTGGTGGAGTGGGGAGACGGCAGTCCCTGGGGAGGCTCGGAATGCCTGGGAATGATTTGGGCTATCTGAAAGTAGGTGGGGTTCACAGGAGCAGGCAGAGCTGGACACTGAAGAGGGAGGCCCTTGCATCCTTACTCTCAATTCCCAGGTGGGAAGTTTGAGGACCAGAGAGGTGAGGCGGATCTTCCACAGCAAAGGTCAGATGACTGTGTTAACAACAGGGAGTGCCTACTGAATGCCAGATGCTGCACCACAGTGGGTCATCTCACTTCCACTTCCTGACACTAAGGGGCAGGTAAACTTCAACTTGCAAGGAAACCAAGGGAAAACAGAGATGGAAAGTGGCTTGGACCAGGTCACATAAGTAATAGAGTCAGGATGTTAACCCTGGCCTACCCCAGGAGAGGAGGAGGTTTTAAGTCCACAGACTGGGTGTCTTGGGTATAGGCCTGAAGAAACCATGGTGGTATGGACCAGGTGCCCAAGTCAGGTGTGAAGTATCACATACAGAGAATGGAGTGGTCTAGGACCCAAAGAGGAAACCCAAATGGCCCATGGTTATGCTGCTTCTTAAGGAAGGGACAGCACGGAACCCAAGCCAGTGAGGGCAGGAAGCTAAGGTGCTAGTGACCCCAGGCCCACCCCAGGCAAGGCTGTGTGTGGTGCTTGGTGGCTGCCCCACAGCAAAAGGAAGGATGCCAGAATGTTTGACAAACAAAGCTTGAAGCGATGGCGATACCCGGGCAGAGGGGCCTCCCAGTCACCGGAATCTGGGGATCTCAAAGGCACTTCCTTAACCCTGGGCTAGGGCTCACAGAGGAGTCAGAGAAGACGGGGGTGGGGAGTGCCTGCTGGAGCATATACAGTGAACAAAGCAGGAAGAAGCCGGGGAGAAACCATGGCCTGAAGGAAAGGGGCAGAGAGGGAGAGGTGAACTTCAACTTATGATCTGGTATGGGGAATATGGGGGTTCCAGTCCCGAGTCCTAAGGAAGGGGCTAATATATGGATGCGTGGGAGGGGCAAGAACTGGAATTGGGGCTTATATACAGGAGAGCTTATACGGGGTGATGTTCAGTCCCCTCACTGCCTGGGATCCAGGAATATGGGGTAAGGGCTGATGCTCCCCACTGAGGGTTGGGGAAAGGATCTCCATCTGTAGCGACTGAAGCTATCACTAGGATGGAGTTTTGGGGGAAGGGTGTAGGGGGCACTCTGCAGCTGAGAGCCCCTGAGGTAGGGTTCCCTGGGCACAGGGGCTGACATTCCCAGGTGAGGGAGATGAGGTCACTGTTTGCAGCGAGGGCCTGGGCTAGGGCACAGAGGAGACACTAGGGTGTAGATTCCAGATCTGAGAAACCCGGGATGAGGTGTCACTTTTAGGGGCCCGAGGGCAGTGCTTATAGCTGAAGGGCAGCTTTGAGCTTGGACTGGGTCCTGGGGGGATGGGAGGTGGGGTTCTAAGTCTAGGAGCACTCTTCGCAATCGAGAATGCCCCGGGGCTAGGATTCCGCATCTGCGGGTCCGAAGGGAGTTCCGTTTGTCGCCCAGGGAGCTCAAGGTAGCTTCTTGATCTGGGGAGTCTCTTTGCAGTCAGGAATCGCCGGGGCCAAGGTTCTGGCTTGGGTTTGGAAGGGACGCTGGGGTGGGGTCCCCGGACTTAGGGGCGCTATTTGCAAGTTAGAAGCCCGGGCTGGAGTTCGGCATCTGGGCCCGAGGTTGGGGCTCTGATCTGGGGTCGCTGTCCGCAAGCCGGGCTGGTGACCGCAGGCCTGGAGGGGGGCTTGGAGGTCTTACCTGGCGAGTATAGCGCAGCCAGCTCGCGGGCCCCGGCGTGCTGCGCGCCCCAGCGACAACAGGCCGCCTCGTCCTCGTCCAGCTCCAGCTGCTGGCCCGGCCCGTCCTCGGCGCCCGCCATGGCCACCCGCCCGACCCGCCCGGTGCGCTCTGCTGGCGGCGGCGGCAGGGCCGCGGAACCGCGGCGAGATCACGCCGCCCAATGACCGCCCAGCGCCTGGCGCGGCGGCGACGCGGGTGGGGTCCTCGCTGGGCCGCGCGTCACAGCCAATCGGAGCCCGCGCCCGAGCCGCGCTGGCCAATCGGATGCCGCTGAGCCGCAACCAACCGCGGCGAGCCGGGGGCTGGGCTGCAGCTGGATGCAGCTGGGCGCGGGAGCGTGGGGCCGAGGCGTGTGCCCGCCTGTCCCACTCCGCCCCGGCCGGGCTACCGGGTCCAGCGCCCCCCGCCGGGAGCTCGCAGCGTGTTGCCGCCCACCTCGGCCTCGGTTCACGGGCCCATGCAATGGGCCGAAGCTGGGCCCAGAAATGGGCATTTCTTGAGCCCTCAGCGTTAAGCGCCCACTGTGTACAAGGAACGCGAGGGAAGGGCGCCGGCCCAGGGCGGGGGCCGAGGCCAGGGAGTGTTTGGCCCGCGCTTTGTACGTCGCTCTCTAGGGAGGGCCGGTGGACCGTGGGCTGGTTTATCAAGCCCTACTGTGTGCAGAGGTTTCGGTGTGTGTTCATCGACTGTGTGCCATCTCTGTGCTGTGCGCCCAAAGAAACCTCGAGCCTGCCCCGCATTTCCACCCAGTTCACGTTCTCCCGACGAAGAGGACGGTACACTAGTGAAAATGACAGCTGGGGTCACTATGAGATGTGCTGAGCGCTTAATATCTGTCCAAGAGGTAGACGAGCAACAGTTTTTTGACCCTTAAACATCAATGGTATTGCCTGCTCAGAGAGCACCCCCATCACCACACTGCTCAAAGGTGCCCCCTCCTCCAGTCACTGTGACATCACCCTGTTTTCTCTTCACAGCGCTTGTGGTGGGCAATGAGCTTGCAGTCCCTGTCTCTCACATCAGAGAGCAAGCTCCTGAGAGCAGAGAACAGCTTTGCCGACAGCTGAGCCCTGTGCCAGGATCGGGACTGGGACATGGTGGAGCTCAGTAAGTGCTTGTTGAATGATGAAGGCTCAGCCAGATGTCTTCCATACTTCAGCAGATAAATGACAGCAGCAGGGATTTTTACCCCAGGTCTAACCGACAACAAAGTACACAATAATTGCGCATAGAAATTCCATACAGGCCCGGCGCGGTGGCTCAAACCTGTAATCCCAGCACTTTGGGAGGCCGAGGCTGGCGGATCACCTGAGGTTATGATCAGCCTGGCCAACATGGTGAAACCCTGTCTCTACTAAAAATACAAAAATTAACCGGGTGTCGCAGCGCATGCTGTAATCCCAGCTACTCGGGAGACTGAGGCAGGAGAATCGTTTGAACCCGGGAGGTGAAGGTTACGGTGAGCTGAGATTGCACCATTGCACTCCAGCCTGGGCGACGAGAGCAAAACTGTCAAAAAAAAAAAAAAAAAAAAAGAAAGAAAAAAGAAAAAGAAAAATCCATACAGTGTGATCATATAGGAGCCACCCTAGAGGCTGTGGAAGGTCCTGAGAGGTGCTGTGAGGAGCAGAGAGGGGAGGTAAAATCCCCTTCCAGAATCCAGATTCTCCCCCTGGACAGCCACAGCCAATCAGGGCCTGCGTTTCTTATGCTATGCTCCCTCCGTTTCTTTCCCACACTTCCTCCCAGGAAGGAAAAGCCACTTTCCAGTGGCAGGTACAGGTTGCAGCCCCCGTCCTGGTGAATTATGGTGAAGCTGTCTGGTCTTGCATGATTTATTTATTTGTTATTATTATTGAGATGGAGTCTTGCTGTGTTGCCCAGACTGGAGTGCCATGGTGCGATCTTGATTCACTGCAATGTCCGCCTCCCAGGTTCAAGCAATTCTTGGCCTCGGCCTCCAGAGTAGCTGGGATTACGGGCGCCCACAACTGCACGCGGCTAATTTTTGTATTTTTAGTAGACACAGAGTTTCACCATGTTGGCCAGGCTGGTTTTACACTCCTGATCTCAGGTGATCCTCCCGTCTCAGCCTCCCAAAGTGCTGGGATTATAGGCATGAGCCACTGAGCCTGGCTATCTTGCATCATTTATTAACAGCTCAGTTAATTCAACAGTTGGGAGTTTTTAACCCAGGAGCTTAAGGCAGGGGGGGGTGGTGGCTTTGGTGGGCGCTGGATGTCAGATTTCAGGTAAACACCTTCTAAAACTCTCTGCTTGTGTCTCACAGCCTCCAAACGGGATAGGGTGGCTGGTTACTGCTGGTATCCGGAGACCCTCTCAGTGGCCAGCACCAGATGGCTGATGGACAGACTGCCTGAGATAACTCATTCCTTCATTTATTCACTGAACACGTGTATTAAACACCAATCTGACCCAGGAAAACAGCAGGGAACATGAACATGACAGAATCCTTGCTGTTTTGGGAGGTGGGGGTGGAGGTTAGGGAAGTCCTGTTCAAGAAAATGACATTGGATCCAAGACCTAAAAAACATGGGAGAGCCGCTAACTTGAAATCAGCTGGGCAGTCCTTTCCTTGTGGGGATTTGAGTAGAGGAATGACATGATCTGACTTAGTTTTTTTTTTTTGAGATGGAGTCTTGCTCTGTCACCATGCTGGAGTGCAGTGGCATGATCTTGACTCACTGCAACCTCTGCCTCCTGGGTTCAAGCCATCCTCCTGCCTCAGCCTCCCAAGTAGCTGGGACTACAGGAACACCACCATGCCCAGCTAATTTTTGTATTTTTAGTAGAGACGGGGTTTTGACATGTTGTCCAGGATGGTCTTGATCACTTGACCTTGTGATCCGCCCACCTCGGCCTCCCAGGGTGCTGGGATTATAGTCATGAGCCACTGTGCGCAGCCTATGTCCTTTGTTTTATGAGATAAAAATTTCATACCTTTTAAAGTAAACCCTATTAAAGCAAATTCTCTGGTTTTTAGTATATCCACAAAGTTGTGTGATCATCATGACTATCTAGCTCCAGAACATTTTCAGTACCCCCAAAAGAAATCCCATGTTCATGATCAATTACTCCCTACTTCCCTCTTTCCTCAGCCCCTGTTTGTTTGTTCCCCAAACAAACAAATCCCTTGCCCTTTTTCAAATTCAGTTATTGGTATTTTTCTTGAATTGTAAGAGTTCATATATTATGGATATTAATCCTTTATCAGATATAGAATTTATAACATATTTTCTCTCATTCTATTGGATGTCTTATAACTCTTTTTTTTTTTTTTTTTGAGATGAAGTTTTGCTCTGGTTGCCTAGGCTGCAGTGTCACTGAGGCAGGAGGATCACTTGAGCCTAAGTGAGTCACTACAGTGAGTCATGATTATGCCACTGTATTTCAGCCAGAAAGACAAATAGAGAGAGCTACTCCCAAGTAGCTCAGATTACAGGGACACAGCACCATGCCTGGTTAATTTATTTTTTGTAGAGATGGGGTCTCACTATGTTGCCCAGGCTGGTCTTGAACTCCTGGGCTCAAGTGAACCTCCCCAGCTTCCCAAAGTGCTGGGATTACAGGTGTGAGACACTGCGCCTGGCCTCCGAGTGGTACATTTGTTAACTGACAAACCTACACTGACACTCCATTATCACTGAAAGTTCATAATTTGCATTAGGGTTCAGTCTTGGTGTATATTCTGCAGGCTTGGGGAACCGTGCAATGACATGGATCCACCGTTGTAGCTATCAGACAGAGTAGTTTCACTGCCCTAAAAATCCTCTGTTGCAGCCGGGTGCGGTGGCTCAGGTCTATAATCCCAGCACTTGGGGAGGCTGAGGCAGGCAGATCACAAGGTCAAGAGATTGAGACCATCCTGGCCAACGTGGTGAAACCCCATCTCTACCAAAAATACAAAAATTAGCCGGGTGTTGTGGTGGGCACCTGTAGTCCCAGCTACTCGGGAGGCCGAGGCAGGAGGATCACTTGAACCTGGGAGGCAGAGGTTGCAGTGAGCCAAGATCGCACCACTGCACTCCAGCCTGGTGACAGAGGGAGACTCTGTTTCAAAAAAAAAATAAAAAATCCTCTGTTGCAGATGCATTTTAATCAGACTGAATATGTGGGCTGCTAAGTAGTGGGCTAGGAGCCCACGGAAATTTAAAAAAACCCAGGCCATAGCCTGGTAGTAGGACCAGGGGGCCTCAGAGAGTATACCAGGCTGTGAGAAGAGCCTCAGAGGCAGCAGGGATGGCCATGTGGGGAGGATGTTGGGGGCTCCTGAGAGGCTGTGTGTGCCCAGGAGAGCCACCTGCAACCTGAGCTGGTCACTGAGCACAACTCCTCACCCCCAGCAGGGCCTCCTACCCAGCAGGAAGTGCCCCGGGCAGTGCTCTGGCCCTGTTTCGGAAGGTGTGTACAGGAAGGCTTCCTTCCCTGGGGTGGAGTGTGTCCCGGAGGGGCTGACCAGAACCAGATGTTGCATGTCTGGGCTATGGCACAGCTGTCCCCAAACCAAACTTCCTCTTTTCCCCACAATGTTCATTTTGAAACATTTGGTTGTACCTGTAAGTTACAGGCATGTGGATATCTGTTTCTGGCTGCCCACATCCATTCCCCCTCCTTCATAGAAATACTACCCTGAATTTTTGGAGGACTCTCTCTTGCTGCCCATTCTCAGCCCCTGAATTTAGCACAAGCCTAGCAACATTGTCCAGTCCCCCGGAATGCAAAGATTGGTTCAGAGATGAGGATGTGACTTCAGATGATCCAATCATAGTGGACTTCAGGATCCTGGTATGAAATTGGGATGTGAATAAGGAAGCAAGTCTCATCAGAATCTGCTGGCAGCCATGAGGACATGATCCTCAGGGTGAGTTCAACGTTAGAGGAAGCAAAAAGGAGATACCAAGAGAAACCAGGTCCTTGCTAAGACCTTTGAACGGTTGGATCAAGCTTCACCTGAAAGCAGACCTATACCTTTCCAGTCACAGACTGAGGTTAAGTCTCAGCTACAACACTTGTGTGCTGTGTGACCATGGGCAAATTATTTATTCTCTCAGGATGTCAGTTTCCTCCTGTAAAAATAGGGATCCTGACGGGCACAGTGGCTCACGCCTGTAATCCCAGCTCCTTGGGAGGCTGAGGTGGGCAGATCATGGGGTCAAGACAAGCCTGGCTAGCATATTGAAACCCCATCCCTTCTAAAAACACAAAAATTAGCCAGGCATGATGGCACCCAACTGTAATCCCAGCTACTCAGGAGGCTGAGGCAGAAGAATCTCTTGAACCCTGGAGAAGGAGGTTGCAGCAAGCCAAGATTGCACCACTATACTCCAGCCTGAGCGACAGAGCAAGACTCTGTCTCCAAAAAAAAGGGGGGGGATTCTAGCAGAGTGCCTGCTTCATAGATTGTTACGAAGATAAACAAATTAATACATATATAGTTATATAGTTGTCAGAAGAGTGCCTGGCATATTCCAGTCATCAGGAAGGGGCAAAGAAGACAACACTTCCCTGCTTTGATCCCACTGGTTAGAACTTGGTCTTGGTCATATGGCACTCTCTGCTATGCAGGAGGCTGGAGAATGTAGTTATCCTCCGTGGAGACAAACTAAAAAGCTGAGGTCCTATTAACAATAAGAACAAAAACCAGTATTACTAATAGCTGATACTCAGAAGCCTCTGACACGCACATGGCAGACACGAGTCCTTCTTTTTGGCCTCCAGTGTCTCAACTGCTTTCCTAGGCTCTCTAGCTGTCCTGGTGTTCCTGCGAGTTCCCCAGTTATTTCCCTAGTAAATTACTAGTTTATTGCCTGTCATGATGAGCCCTCATAGTGAATGGCATAGGGGACGAGAGCAGATATGCATGATCAATAACAATGGTGAGCATTTATTGAGCACTTACTGCATGCCAGGCCAGGTTATAACCTTACTGAACCTTCACATTCATCCCTAGGCATCCTCTGGATGCCTGGCTCAGGTCCTGACTCATTTTAAAATTGTTTCTTAATCCTAGTTGCTTAAAAACAGAGTTGTTACTTCTGGTGAGTCTGTGCGTTGGCTGGTGGTTCCTCTGTGGGCTTCACCTGGGCTCTAGCATGCAGCTGCTTCTGGCTTTCAGCTGTGCTGGCCGGGCCAAGGTGGCCTCATTCATGGTGACACGGGGTTCAGATGGGATTCAGATAGCAGCCGATTGTTGGCTGGGGCATCTCGGTGCAGCATCTGGGCTCTTATCATCCAGAAAATTAGACTGGCTTCTGTACATGGTGTTTTCAGCGCAGCATGCAGGAGCCCTAGGCCCAGATGTCCTGTAAAGTCACATTCTCCCATTTGCTCTATCTCAAAGCAAGTCAAATGCCAGCCCAGGGCTTCTTCCGGGAAACTGCTCTTTGCTCGCTATTGGCCCACAGACTTCATTTGTACTCATTAGCACAGGGATAAGATTACCTTTTGACTCATCTGGCCCTAGAAGGTGGGGCGGAGGACGGGGTCACTTCCCTGAGGCACCTGAGCTGCCTGGGGAAGGGGTGGACGTTTGAACAAAACTGGGGAGGGTCAAGTGCAGGGAAAGCATGGTTACAGGGCAGACAATAGACAACAGGACCATCACTGCCCACTGTTAATGTTTGGTGGAATTTCTTTCCAGGCATTTAACAAACAGACGCAAGGGATCTTCCTGACTGCCACACTTACCCTGAGAACCCTTTTCTGGAAGCCTCTTGGGACTGTGCCCTAATTATGCCCAGATCCTGGAAACAATCATACAATGATTTTCTTCCTTTTTCTGGGAGCAGGTGGGAATGACAGATTAAAACTATGCTTTCAAAACTAGAATAAAATATAGGTGAATTTCTTTAAAAAAATAAAAAAGCCTTTTAAAAAATAATAATTTGGCTGGGCATGGTGGCTTATGCCTGTAATCCCAGCACTTTGGGAGGCCAAGGCGAGTGAATCACCTGAGGTCAGGAATTCGAGACCAGCTGGCCAACATGGTGAAACCCCGTCTCTACTAAAAATACAAAAATTAGCTGGGCACGGTGGCATGAGCCTGTAAGCCCAGCTACTTGGGAGGCTGAGGCAGGAGAACTGATGGAACCCAGGAGCAGAGGCTGCAGTGAGCTGAGATTACACCACTGCACTCCAGCCTGGGTGACAGAGCAAGACTGTCTCAAATAATAATAATAATAATTCAAGTTTTTTCAAATGTACAGAAAAGTTGTAAGAATAGTACAATAAACTCGCATCCCTTTCACACAGATGCCCTAATTGTCAACATTTTGCTACATGTTGTTTATCCTTCTTTCTCTCTGTGTGTGCCATTTTTCAGAACCATTTGAGTCAGTTTCAGACATAATGCCTTTTTACCCTAAATTTTTCAGTGTGTAATTCTTAAGAACAAGGACATTCTCCTACGGGAACTCTGTACAGTTTTTAAAATCAGAAAATTTCATATTGATACAATGTTATAATTTAATTTCTTTTTTTGTTAGTTTTCTGAGACGGAGTTTCGCTCTTGTTGCCAGGCTGGAGTGCAATGGTACAATCTTGGCTTATGGAAATCTCCACCTCCCAGGTTCAAGTGATTCTCCTGCCTCAGCCTCCCGAGTAGCTGGGATTACAGGCATGTGTCACCAGGCCCAGCTAATTTTGTATTTTTAGTAGAGACCGGGTTTCTCCATGTTGGTCAGGCTAGTCTCGAACTCCAGACCTCAGGTGATCTGCCCACCTCAGCCACTCAAAGTGCTGGGATTACAGGCTGGTCTAGAACTCCCGACCTCAGGTGATCCACTTGCCTCAGTCTCCTAAAGTGCTAGGATTATAGGCATGAGCCACCACGCCTGGCCTATAATTTAATTTCTGTGGTCCAGATTCAAATCTCGTTATCCCAATTAGGACCTAAGACTTTTTTTCCCTCTGAGTCTGCTTGCAAAGGACATCTCTTATTCTTAAACTAGTGACTACCAATGTCATTGCACCACTTTTAAGGAGGCAAAATACTCTTCTGCCCAAAGAGAAGAAACTCAATAACACATAAAATCTGCTTAAAGAATCTGTGGTTAGAAATCCTACTCATCAACTCTATACAGTTACAGCAGTGATTCTCAGTTGGGGGCGATTTTGACTCCCAGGGGTATTTGGCAATGTCTGAAGAAATTTTTGGTGGTCACAACTGGCGGTGGTGATTTACTGCCATCTAGTGGGTAGAAGCCATGGATGCTGGTAAACATCCTACATTGCAGAGGATGGTCTCCCCCTGCCTCCCCCCACAACAAATAATGACCCAGTCCAGGATGCCAATGGGGTCAAGGTTAGAAATCCTGACCTATAAGTAAATTAAAAGAGACAGTCCTTTTTTTTTTTTTTTTGAGACGGAGTTTTGCTTTTGTTACCCAGGCTGGAGTGCAATGGCGCGATCTCTGCCTTCTGGGTTCAGGCAATTCTCCTGCCTCAGCCTCCCGAGGAGCTCGGATTACAGGCACATGCCACCGGGCTCAGCTAATTTTTTGTATTTTTAGTAGAGACGGGGTTTCACCATGTTGACCAGGATGGTCTCGATCTCTTGACCTCGTGATCCACCCGCCTCGGCCTCCCAAAGTGCTGGGATTACAGGCTTGAGCCACTGCCCCCAGCCAAGAGACAGGCCTTTTTTTTTGTTGCAGTGGAGCTCCCCTGGATCTACAATTCACCCTAGCAATTCCATTTCTTCCCACCTGTGTTGCAAAATCCCATCTCTGTAGGCACAGGGAGGTCCAGCCAAGCATGTTTAGGATCACTGGAAACCAGAACAGACCTGCATGCTCATTGGGAGGAGACAGATAAAGAACCGAGTCAGGCTATGCTATGTCGCTTCCCTCCGCTTCTTTTGCTCCTAGGTAAATAGGGCAGGAGAAGTGGGATTGGAAGGCTGCCAGGAATCTTGGGCCCAGCTGCTGCTTTATGACTTAGGGACATAACTGCTTCTGACTCACGTGTGATTTGCTCTTTGTGATTTTGTGCCAAGGTACGTCAGCAGGAGGCTGTCCTGGAATGTCTCCCTTTTCGAATCGAGGGTGTGGCCTCTGCTGAGTCACCTCTAGCTCCTAGAAGCCTGGCTCAGGGTCAACTCATTTTAAAAGCAGCTGCCATTTCTTTCTTTTTGGAAGGGGGGGGGACAGAATCTCACTCTCTCCCCCAGGCTGGAGTGGTGCAGTGGCACAATCTCCGCACAATCTCGCCGCAACCTCCGCCTCACAGGTTCAAGCAATTCTCTCACCTAAGCCTCTTTAGTAGCTGGGACTATAGGCACACACCACCACTCCTGGCTAATTTTTTTGTATTTTTAGTAGAGACAGAGTTTTACCATGTTGACCAGGCTGGTCTCAAACTCCTGACCTCAAGTGATCCACCTGCCTTGGCCTCCCAAAGTTCTGGGATTACAAGTGTGAGCTACTGTACCCACCTTTTTTCTTTTTCTTTTTTTTTTAAACTTGGGAAGGCTGGTCCGATGGTAGTGGGTTATCAGAACTTATTAACATTAGTGTCACTAAAGTTGGTATACAACCCCCCACTGCTAAATTTGACTGGCTTTTAAGAAAAAAAAAAAAAAAAACCTTGGGAAAATACGCAACACAAAACTTACCATCTTCGCCATTTTTAAGTGTACACTTCAGTGGTATAAAATATATTCACAGTGTTCAACCATCCCCACCATCTATCTCCAGAACCCTTTTCGTCTAGAAAAACTAACACTTTGTCTCCATTAAACAGTAACTCATCATTCCCTTCCCCCAGCCCCTGACGACCACCATACTACTTTTCTTTTTCTTTTTTTTTGTGGGGGGCATAGGGTCTCACTCTGTCACCCAGGCTGGAGTGCAGTGGCACAGC